AATACTTTGTTTAAACGTACTTAATACAATTAGTTTTATTTAGGAAGCAGAGAAACAATCTGAGCTGGCAGAGGACTAATTGCACTGCCAGGAACTCTTCCTATGAACCTGGAAAACAACAAACTCCACTTTGGCATCATGGAAATCAGTAAATATCATTTATCATTATCCAGGCTAATTTCTACATCTGCCCCATTATATTGCTCCTTTTGGTGGTGCTAATACACCACTTCAGCAATAAAAACATGTTTGCATCCAGAGACAGGTTGATATCTTTAGCTACAAAAAAATCTAGAGCTTATTTTTCTTACTGTGGTGCAGTTCTAGATGGTCCTTGTATTGTCTTTTCTGGTCTAAACAGAATACATTTACCAATGTGAATTTTACAAAAATTCTCGAAAAAAAAAAGCACTCAAGAACAGATGAAAATGAAAAGATATCCACACCTCTAACTATGCACTGGTGAGTATTGTAATATTATTGCCTACTACCATAGTATCTGAGTTTCTCACTAGCTTTAGTGCCACATCCTCCCACAATAAACAGAATTATTTCTCAGAAAATAAGAATTAGAGTAAAGAAATCACTCCAGAGAACATCAGAAGGCTATGAAGAACAACATATTTCAAGCATGACTTTCACCCTAAACTTTGCTTTGTTCCATTATAATTAAGAGCTCTCTGCCTCCATATGTTATTTCTGCACAAAGCTGAAGCCACTGCTTATGACTAATAACAACACAGCATTCCTATTTCATATCCAAGGTAACCCTAAGTGTTTTAATTACATAATAAATTTGATAAGCCAGTCTGGGAACTGCACTGGTAAGTGCTGTGAATATGCTCACTCCTCACAATACACTTAGTTTACTGTTAGAGGCTTTTTCAGAGGGAACCAGCCCGAAGTCTATCCAATACTTCGGTCTTATCTGAAAAACATCCTATTTTTTTTTCCTTTAAAACATTATCACCTGTCCATATAGACTTAAGTTGAACCAAAAAAGTAACCAAATACCTGTGGGGCTTCAAGTATTATTGAGAAATTAGTGTTATCTCTTGGTTCTGGAGAGCCAGGGCTGGCTTTCATGCTGTTGGTATCCACACTGTGCATGTTCTCCTCCTCTGTGCTTTCTCCCTAAAAAAGGAAATCAAAATGCTGTCAGGAAAACCAACAAAAAATTTCCACATTATTCAATAAATTGAAAGGGAGAGGAAGAATCAGTCATTAGAAAAGAGATGGGAAAGTCATACATGGAGAAGATGAAGACAGCTTTTAGCCTTTGGAGATACTGGTTCAGATACACTAAGAAATAAAAAGATGTCTAGAAAAGAAAGACAAATACAAGGATATGAACAATGATAAATTACTTTTTATGAAAGGAAAGAATATATTTAACAGCCTTCTTACATTCCTATTTCACCACTCCTCTACCACTTTGAATTACAAGCACTTTCTATTAGCTGATGCTTTAATTAATTTTGCCTGGCTGCCCTTGATGAACAATACTGTAGTGTTCTCAAGTAAACTACTGTCTGTTCCACAGCCCTGATTCTAGAAGAAGGAAATTCTGCTTGAATTTACAGCCTTGACTTCAAACAGATTAAGTTTCTTTGATGTCAGCAGAGCTCAAGCAAGCACTTAGCAGTGTCTTAGAGTGAAATGGACTTCAGCACATATTTAAGTGGTTTGCTGAATTGCTTGAACCACATTACACCCATGCACAGTGCACATGGGTTTGACCAGACACATGTCCTGATTCCACGTGGATGTTCTTCAGGGAGGAACTTGAGGATACTGGTTTTCCAGTCAGACCTTTTGGACACTGAGCTGCCCATTTGCCAGAATTTCTGAACATCTCAAGCTTTATGCATAGCAACTTAGTTGCTTTTCCAATGCACACACAGTTCTATTCTGAATTCTCCCCACATATACAACACCACAGTCTACACATGTCATAGGATCAGATAGAAAACAAAGTTAAAATCAGTCCTTACCACCAAAGGCTTGCAGATTCCAAGAGACACTGTACCTGGGGGCACAGATTTCAACACTTCCACTGCCTCTGCCAATGTGGCACTGTTCAAGTCTGTCTCATTTACAAACACCAAGCGGTCGCCCGGCAGAAGCTCTCCCCCACGGTCGGCTACTCCACCTGCCACCAAGGAGCTGATCACAATGGCTGTTCTTGTTGGATCTAAGGGATCCTGGGGAAAAGAAATTCAAAAAAACAAGTGAAAGCTTTGAAAGACGATATTTATTTGGAGTATGTAAAGAGCACTCAAGCACGTTCATCATCTAACGCCACAGAACTGAAGCCTGCTGAGATGTTCAGAAAGGACAGTTTGCTAATACTGCCAAGGCTTACAGTTCACCAAAAAAAAAAAGGCATTCCATCACTTGCTTAATCCATTAAGAAATATTAAGATCTGAAAGCTGACCAATACCCTGCCTTTCCTCTTCTTACACACACACACACAGACACAGCCAGGCCAACCTGCAAATAGAACAACACTGGCCCCTGTCCACAGCCTCCGTCCAGCCTGGTGTGTGCTAATGTCACAGAAAATAACCATCCTGCATGTCACTTGAAAGCTTCGCAGCAGCAAAACGGATGGCAAAAGAAATCACTGCAAGATTAGGACTTTAATTAAAACTATTAAGTTACATTAGAACCCAAAAACATTCAGGAAATAGCAGTATATATTTGCTATGTTACTGCAGTGATTCTGCTTTGTCAACTCCACATGGCAACTTATAAAAGACATTTTCTCCACCCATGAAGCTTCCTTTACAGGGAACAGGAGACAGCAACAGAAGAGTAACTAGGATTATTGCAGAAGACAAGGAATGCTGAAGTGGTGGATACAGAGAATGTGAAGTAGAAAATATCATACACATTGGAAAGGCTGTAAACTGCTGCAAAAAGATTCACTTATTTTCCAGTATTACCCTTTGCTTTGTGCCTTGTACCATTCCTATCAGGCATTCATTCATTTAAAAAAATCATCCTCAATCCATTGCATTTATTATATAGTGGCAGAAAGATACATAAAACAAATTCATGGGGTTTTTAAATTTTTAATTGTTGTTTCCTCATTTGTTTTTTTAAGATTACAATTAGCCTTTCTCCCCCTTGCTAAGGGCTCATAAAGTTCAGAAATACTCCTTGTACGCACTAAGTCTCCAAATGTATAACCATATACTATTTTTTCCCTCAGGACTTGAATCTTATTCAGGGCATGGGAGAGATAAAAAAAAGGGCAAAATTCAAATCACAAAGACCACCACGAATTCAGCACTTCAGTGTTAATTTGAAAACAGGAATGCTTTCTAAACTCTTTATTTTTATATGGCCGTACACTGCTTTCCAAGGGCACGTGGCTTTTAAGGTATGTGCAAACACATGAGGCAATGACTGTAATTGAATCTTATTCAGGGCATGGGAGAGATAAAAAAAAGGGCAAAATTCAAATCACAAAGACCACCACGAATTCAGCACTTCAGTGTTAATTTGAAAACAGGAATGCTTTCTAAACTCTTTATTTTTATATGGCCGTACACTGCTTTCCAAGGGCACGTGGCTTTTAAGGTATGTGCAAACACATGAGGCAATGACTGTAATATCTGCAAATGAATGAAAGAA